CGACGACGACGAATGCTACTACTGCTACGACAACCACTGCTACTACTGCTATGGCGACGACTATTACGACTACTGCTGCTGCTGCTACTACTACTACTACTTCTTCTTCTTCTTCGATTTACTCTACTAATACTACGACAACGCCTATTACTGTTACTACCCGCTACTATTACAACGACGACGACGGCTACTACTCTCACCTCAGCTACAATCGATGCCCCAGCTAAAACTGATGCCGGGAGACTAACCGACTAAGCCTCTGAACATCGACATGAATGCTACCAGCAGCGGCTGGCGGGAATATGGATGCTCCGGAGCTAATATTGCTGTTTCCTTGCTGCTCATATTCATTGCCAGACCGGCTGCGGCTCAGCCTCACGCACAGCTACCCCGCGGCAAAGAGGAAGTTCCGTTGGGTCAGATCAATCCACATAGTATATAGGCGATGCCAAGAGTGCAGCCAGGGAGAGCCAGAGCCCTTGAGATGGGCGCTGTCTTTGTTGTGCCTTCCGAGATTCTGATGTATGTTGATACTTGGGTGCAATTGTTTGGGTTAGTGGTCTGGGGCTGCTCCACTTTAACTATTATTTGCTGGCATATATGGCAAGGCGGTGGGCACCTTTCGACAAGTCGGCAGAGCAACTGTGACTCGAGCACCTCGTACAGGCTCAGGTACGTAGTATCACATGATATCAAGTGGTTGCTCTACACACCATGAGTCAAGAGTTCTAGAAAGAGTCGCAAATCACTAATCACCATGCACGAGCAAACGCTGACTCCCATCTGAAACCTAAACCCTTAACCCAAGCGGAACAAAAAAGACGTGATCAAAAACAGACCTCAAGCCCCTAAACCCGTAGAAGGCTAAACCCTGAACTCAAAAAAGCCCTAAACCCTCAACCCTCAACGCTATAAACCTTTGACCCTGAACCTCAAAAACCCAAACCCTAGAACAAAAAGGTTTCAGCCGGATGGATGCCAGCATCCCGGACGAAGCCCCGGTGAGCCTTGAGCCGCCAAAGAGTCGCCAAGCTGAGCTGTTTTAGTTCAAGGGTTAGGGCTTTAGGGTTTAGGGGTTTGGGATTTGGGGCTGAATCAGGGTTAGGGTATTTGGGTTGATTTAACTAGACCTGAGTTTAGGATATTAGCGTACCTGGGTTTGTAGGATTTAGAGAAAGAAGCGGAGACTTCCGTCCCAGGTACCAGCTCCCCTCATTTTTCCGCGGCTCCGCCGTCCCTCCGGCCGCCGGATCTGGAGCACCGGAATTTCAGGTCGAGGCGCTTCGTCCCAGAGGCGGGCTGAGAGTCCGCTGTAGTTTGCACTAGACGCTGGAATCTAACTCGCGACTAGAATGAAGCGCCGACAGGGGTAACAGTGTCGTCATGTTATGTCAGCGTGTGTGTTTTTTTTGATTTTATGTTTCGCATTATATAAAAAACATATCTATATGTTTCGGCTGCTGGGTGAAGTGGCAGCACCAACGAGGAGTCGGGGCAATGTCGCTCACTCGGCGATGTCTCTTTTGTTATGGTTGTGCTGGTGGTTTGTCACTGCGACAGCATCGCCTTGTCATTGCTTCTTCTTCTCCTCCTGCTCTTGCCGCGCTTTGCCTTAACCGTTTCGGGGGGGGGGGGTGGTTTTTGCTACTGCTCGGGTGCGGTTACTCTTCACGAGCCCGGCGCAAGGCCCAGATCCAACGCCTCGGCAGCGACGAACTGGAGTTTCATGAGGCCCTAGAGCCTGTTGACTCCAGCGAAACGTTGGGCCAGAGAGGCGGTGTCTGCCTGTGAAAAGCGAGAAGGTCCAAGCACTGTGTCTTCCGAACGAATAGACTACATATTCAGTCACAGCATATGTGTTCCATGTCATATATGTCCGCATATCTCAGCATCACAAATGATCAGGACTGCTCTGTTGGTTCCTGCTGATAACAAATGCTTAGGTTGTTGAGGATGGTGCTGATGGCGCTCATTTTCCTTCCCCAGCACAGTGTCTTCTTCGTGCCAATCTCCAGCTCATTCTCAACTTGCCCCTTTGGGCACACTTGTCCCACCCTGCTGGCAAGTAATTCCAATTTCATTCCGTTGACGCCCCTAAGAAGCTGGCCATCTTCCAGTCACCAGCTTCCAGCCGGTTTCAACGATGCTGACTTCTGGTTGTGATAGATAATGAAGATTTGCTCTTGATGATGTCATTATCACCCTGTTGACGGTATTATGATGTCTGCTTTTGCTAATTGCAGTAGTTTCTTGTCATGCCCTAATTGCTACTGAGAGCGCCGTGCCTCATGACTCAGGACCGCTGCTTTCAGGTGTGTGCTAAGCCATCCTCAGCTCAACCTCGTGCCAGGAAGGCTGCAGATTCAGCATAATCTTTCTGATAACATGTCACACCCACAAAAGTTCTCCCCGCAGCATCCCACAGCTGTTTCACAACGGAAGAGCAAAATGTCTTCTGGCTGCTGCTATATTCGAAAATTGCAACCAGCTATTGATGTTCCTTGCAAGCGTGTAGTGGCAGCGTTCGTAGACCAGCCGTGACATCAAAGGTAGCGGTAGCCACAATCACAGTCTGTGACAACCTACCGTAGAGTCGTCGTAATGGAGACATGGTGCAGGGTACCGGCTTCATTTAACAAGTTGTGGCAACGAGCAGCAACAGATACCTGCTAGCCACACCAAGACAACCTGCGCTGCAGCAGCGGCTCCAAAAGAGTGAATAGAGCACCCGTGATGCTGGAGAAGCACCAGAAATACTGACGCCATGGATGGAGGAGAGTGCTTCAAGGCGCTGCTGCGATCGGTGGAGGCTTGGGGTGAGCGGAGTTTTGTTAGTTTAAGGTGGGGTGTAGGGTTTAGGGGGACAGGCTAGCTTCGGCTTCGGCCGAGGCTGGATGTCGCAATCCGGAAAGGTGCCGCAAGAGTTTAGGGCCTGAGGGTTCTTAGTTTACTACTAAACCCGAAACCCTAAACCCTAAACCCTAAACCCTAAACCATTTTTGTGCGGTGCTGGGCGTCCTTCTAGGGGGAGCCTTGCGACCCTGAGAAGATGGTCCACATTAATGTAGGGCCGTACTAATGAGAACAGGATTTTGGTGGTATATTAGAGCTGATCAGACTACCATGAACAATTAAAGCAGGGTTTTGGGGTATATTACACTATATACTTATAGTAAGGAACCCACAAATTGGTACTGGTTTAACTATTTAGGCCCCTATAGTAGTGTAATCTGCAGAGTCTCTCTGCTGGCAGTATCGGAGTTGAAGGCTCGAGGCTTGTCCATATTAACTTCTAGATCAAGAAGCATTCAAAGAATTAGCCTTTCGGGGTTTATACAAGTTTACCAAAATCAAGAGGGTAATGATCTTTGGGGCTAGGGTCTTCATTCAGCCTCGAAGAAGACCTCATCAGCCCGGAGAACATGCGTTTTGGCAGGAGCAGTACGAGAGCGACCTTCACGAAGTCAGTCGTGTCCTCGGTGTCCTGAGAAGACAATGGCATGATCGCCGGTTAGAGCGTGGCTGATGAGGAAGTTTCAGCAATCATCCAGCCTTGTGTAGAACCCTATATACTTGTAGCAGGATCCTCATTGTAAGGACCCCAGATTAATGTCACCCTGGAGACCGCCCCATGTGGCACTTTTGCTGCTCTGGCGTCTGGTCTCGAGGATGTGCTCGGCGGTCGAAGATGTGGATGAATCATGCAAGCCGCCGGAGCTTGGGCTCGGGACTCAGACACGCAAAATGTGCTGGATTCACCGATCAGCCCTGAACCCCCTAGACCCCCCCAAAGCCCCTAAATCCGTAAACCGAGTTGAGGATTCTCCCAGAATCGCAGTGCAGGATGTGGAGGAAGTGAAGGCACCGACAACCAAAGAGTCTCCACTCTCTGTTTTGGTCTTCTAGACCCTTATAGACCCATAGTATATATTATTCATACTAATATTATATATTCTATAATGGTGTTGGAAAAAATGCTAGGGTCCTGACCCTTGCCAGGCAGAAATCTCGCTTCCACACGAGACGGCGATGCGGCATCGCCAATCAGATCTGCGGCTGCAGCCGGAGAAGCCACGCTCCGAAGCGCCGCGCCCCAGCGGTCGGCTGGCGGAGCCCATCCGGCTGAAGGCGAAGAGGGCAAGCTTCGTTGCTTGGACAGCAGGACTTGCAAAGACATTTTGATGGGGCCTGCCGCAATCACTTGCCACCAGTTGACAAGGCTGCGCAGCCTCGCTCCTCACGTCGAACTTCCTTTGCAGATTCCAGAAACGAGAGGCCACTTGGCTGTCAAAGCATGCTGCGGCGACTTCTGAGAATGGTGAAAGAGTCGGACATGTGAGATGTATCGTGACGGAGCTTTGAGGGGTGAGCGGGTGCATGTTACTCGAAGCTTTTCCTCCACCTCAGCACTGCCTTCTAGTGGGATGGAGGCTTCGCGAGAACTTCACGGAGTTGCAATGGCTGCCCATGGATACCCTGCTCAAATCCAGCTTCTGCATGAGGTCGGATCCCGAGTCGGACGAACCTCAAGCAGCTCAACCCGGACCCGGTCGCCGTTCACATGCCCCTCGGCGTGAACCAAGATTTCAGACGACCAATCTTCTTGAAAGTACCTGATGGCAAATGAAGCAATGAAATCAGAGCCAGCCGTCCCACACGGAACTTGTTTCAAGAGCTGCAGCGTTGGACTTTCGTGTCAAGCCTGAGATCGTGTGTGCTGCAGGTACTGCCAAGCCCTGATGCTTCTGCAAGTCGATGTCCGTAGCAACACTGTTTCTCGTAGTCGTAGTCGCCTTCAACATGTAATTATTGGAAGGTCATCGCACGCCTGTGCTACTTGTTTCTGACATCCTGCAGTCTTCTAGGTCACCTGACACCAGAGACGACACTTGATGCTTTCATCCCATGTCCGAGTACTCTCTGAGGACAGCCAGAGGTCTTCACTCCGATCCTCAAGATCCAGCGAAGACGGGGTTAAAGAGACCGAAGCCCGAAACGGATTCAATGCAGGCGTGGGGATCGGTAGCCTGATCCTAGAACCGATGCATATCTGCATCGTTCGTTCGCGCATCATGCGAGATATGCCATGCATGTGCTAGGGTACTAGATGAAAGTAAAAACACCTCTGCAGGTTGAGGGACGTGTAGAGGGCAGCCATGAGGGAGCCAACAATTCCTCAGCTTTATTTTGTTCCAAGTTCGGGCTCCTTCCAAAGCAGAAGCAGGCAGAGGACGCCGGACCCTGTTCTTCGACAAATCGCCCGAGGTGCGAGGGTTTCATTGCTCTGCATTTCGTAGAATGCATTGCCCGCCTACTCTGCTTACATAGGGTCGAGCTTGGGGGCAAGTGGGGACCACTAGGCCACACAGGGTCCGAGCAAGCAGGAGATGGAGGCGATGTTCCAAGAGGCACTGAACGAGAGCGAGGACGCTTTGGTTCGATGCGCCGAGTGACACGTCCTTGACTGAAGCTTCGATTTCTTTCTAACGGAGAAGCAGCCTTTAGATATTAAATTGCCTCTGGAGGTACTTCCTACGGAGTGCTACCATGTGCCACCTTCATGCAGCAAAGCTGAAACCTGGAACGGGCGGTCCATCGTGATGTTTCGCACGATCATGGTGGATGATGCATACAATGATTGATTGTCGCAGGAGTACCGTAAGCATTGATTATGAAAAGCATGCGAAGCGAGAACCTGTTTTCAGATGATTCCGCAACTCAACCTTTGCCACGGCAGCGCCATGTATGCCTTGACCCAAGCAACCTGAAGGAGGAGGACGAGTCGCACACCGCAGTCAGCATCGAAGGCCTTGGTTGTGGTTGTTGTTGTGGTGGTGCACGAATTTTGCGACAGCGCAAAGCGGCAGGTGGTCAGCAGTCATGCTGCAGCTTGGCCGAGAGAGTCCGCAACAAGACGAAGCAGATACTTGAGACGGACCCCTGCTTCTACTAGGGATTCTAGGGGCTTCGGGCTCCGAGGTTTTGCGATCACAGGATTTGCGATGGTTTTGGGGTTTGAGTCTTTGGTCCTGTCATGTCCTGTCACACGGAGCGGATACGAGATTGCAGGACATGCGAAAGACCGCGGCGCTGAACACGCTTAACTTGTCTCCCCAAAGCTAACTATTCGCCTGACGTAACCCAGTACGCCACAACGACGCAGGACTTCTTTGAGATGTTCGTCTCTGGCCTCATCCTCTGCAATGTCGTGGTCATGTGCTGTGCTGCGTGACCCGGCCCCCATGCAAGAACTTCTTTGCAACCTTTTGAGGGGCGTTAGGTCGGATGCTCCATCGCGAAAAAGCTACGGCTTCCCTTACTCGATCAACCTGAAACCACGTAGTTATACACAAGCCAAGAGCCCTAAAAGCCTTGAAATCCTCAGATATCCCTGCAGAACCTCTCTGGAATCCTTATAAACCCCTCCAAACCCCAACCACAGGCAGTACCGCGGCTTGGATCTTGGCTACACCATCCTCTACCCGAGGATGACCAGCAAAGCGGAAGACATTTGGCCAGGCGTAATATTAAATACTATTGTTATTCTTGTTATTGCCATTATGAAGATGATCATTGATTTTGTTTTTGTTCTTACAGTTATTTTTATGATGTTCGTTATTGTCGGTATCGATTATTGTTTCTGTCAGTTATTACTATTACTGTCATTACCATTGTTATGGTCATTATGCAATCTTTACACAATGTTATTATTGTTGTTGCTACTGTTGAGGCCCGTATACTGACTGGGAGTCAACATTTTCTGTTGTTTCAGTTCTGCTCAGAGTCTTGGTATGTGGATTTGAGGTTCTGTTTTCAGAAGGGTAGCTCTGGGGCCTGGGAGTTTTATGAGGGTCTTTCATAGGGTTTTACAAGGGCTTGTGCAGGCTTTGGGAACTATCCGGCGCTTTAGGTTCTTTTGGAGTTTGGGGTTTAGGCTTCGGTTTTAGGATACGGCGAGGGGGTTCAGGAATCTGATGCTAGTCTTGCCATAATCTCCCGACCCATGTAGCCGTAGAACGAACGAACAAAAGACTAAGTATAGGTTATGTACGAAGGTATTTCGGTAGCAAGGTGTGTGGGTGTGAGTGGACGTGTGAGTGTGTGAGAGCGTGTATATATATATATATATATCTGTGTGTGTGTGGGTGGGTGTGTATTTTCGCTTGTCGCTGTGTACATACATACGAATATATATATATATGTATGTATGTATGTATGTATGTATGTATGTTTGTTTGTTTGTTTGTATGTATGTTTGTTTGTTTGCATGTGTATATTTATATACACAAATATACTACTACGAATACATACGCATCTACATACAGTACATACATACATACATACATACATATATACATACATACGTACGTACGTACGTACGTACGTACGTACATACATACATACATACATACACATACATATATACACATACATACATACACATACATACATACATACATGCATACATACATACATACCTTCTTTTTTACTCACTCACTTACTTACTTACTCACTCACTTACTGACTCACTTACTTACTTACTTACTTACTTACCTACCTACACATGAGCAGTTGAATGCACACAGACGTTCTGTGACTGTGTTTGCATGCTTGCGTATTTGTATGTGCGTATCCAGCACTTTTATCACCCGCGGCGAGTGTTTTGATTTCACGGCGATAGAAAGAATCATCCCATGAGAGCCCTGTGTCCTAACGCCGGCACTAGTGAATGGAAGCTTCGTCCGGAGGGTTCACGGCTTCTTGCAAACAGGCGGCCAAGAAGCCCTTACGCATATCGACAAAGCCTTCACCATCGTGTTCTTCCTTGAGCTGTTCTTGCGGCTGTGCCTTCGCCGCGATCAGTTTTGGGAAGCAGGCAGATACGTTGCTGATCGTCTGTCCCACCTGTTCTTGAGGCACTCGAATGCTTTTTAGATATGACAAGGCCAGAACGACCATGCTGGTTTTGAATGCCTAATTCTCGTTGTGTGGCTGCACTTGGTTCAGACACACTGGTGCATCCGAGGCTGTGAGTCAAGAGCGAACTAACATGTTTACCTGGGACCCGGCCTAACGAGGTATCTCAAGCCTCTCTAGCGTTGATGTGGGTCTGCCCCTTTGTCTCTCCGGTCTCTCTACCTCTACCTTCTAGGAGACCACACATGACGTACGATATAAGTAACGACTGCATCAATGTATGCATATAAACCTCTGTTATGCTGGGGCCAAGACCTGCCTCCAAGCCCTAAAGCCCTAAACCCTTAGCCCTTTCTGAAACCCTAAACCCTGACTAAAGCAACACAGCACCGCCCCAAAGTCGGGCAGCCCCACGAAAGAGCTCGAAAGCAGGCAAGCCCTGTGCTTCCCCCATTCGGCGTTCAGCCCAGGTTGGTCTACCGACTCTCCTTTTTCCTGCTTGCGTTGAGCCGTGGCTCACATTGGGATGTAGTTTGTGAAGTTCAGTGGTTAATGACCCTGTGTACAGGGTCCTGCATATGGATCGAGGTTTTGTTTCGTTTTTCTAAGGGAGAGGGTTGTAATTTGGAAGCCTGGGGCCGACATTAGTGTAGCCCTAGAAGTGTTCGGCATTTTTTCTTGCTCCGGTCCATCTATGTCGACCTGCTTCCGTCATGCCGCTTTCAGAAACCCGGACGTGGCCCGAAACGGTGGTCAAAGCTGTGACCCTGAATCTTCCATGGCCATCTACATTGCAATCCAGGTCCTGAGCTCGCGTAACGACAAAGCTCGCAAGGAACTCAACAAGCTTCTCAAAGGCCATGCCCCTGAACCCCCATGCGCCAGCCCGAAGTATGGAGAGGAGCAAGCTTCTTGCCATGTACTTAACACACACTATAAACAAATAAATATAAATAAACAAATACTAAATATCTATATCTCTATATATATATGTTATTTCTATATATGTGTACATGTACGTAGATATGTGTGTATGTACATACATACATACATACATACATACATACATATACATACATATACATATATATATATACATATATATATATATTAGAAAGAAGATGATCGCGTTTTGGTCTTGGATCAGGAACTGGCTGGACTTCTCGGTGGTCTTTTTCTCCGTCTTTGAGCTGCTAGCCTCCTCGACTGTTTTGCAGTCTTCCGGGCCCTAAATCCTTGAACCCTAAACCCTAACCCAAATTCTAAACACTACACGACAGACGCTTACAGGAGTTTTGGTTGCGGAGATCATCTTGGTCTTGGACTTGAGGATTCGGCCCTGCAGCTTAGGATACCCCACGCTAGATCATGTGTGTACATATATATATATATGTATATATATATATAATTATATATATATATAGATATATAGATATATAGATGGTTGACAGTTTCTGCTTAAAAAATTGGCTTCAGGCTTGAGGGTTCAGGCCTCCCAGCACCTAACCTCTGAGCTCGTCAGTCTCAAGCCTCGCTTGGCCCCGGGAGTTGCTTTGGAAGCAGAGGTGTCAAGATCTCCCGGGTTTAGGGGTTTAGGGGGTTTAGGGTTAGGACAAGGATAAGTGCCTTGGGTCAGGACTTGAGACTAAAGCCCGGAGGAGGCCGAAGCCCTGAAACCCAAGAAACTACAAACCTGGGCAGAGCCCCTCGGCGTCTCGACCCCAACGCCCTAAGCCCGCAGACCCGAACACCCTGACCCGCAATCTAAGCCTTCACAGGATGCTGTAGTGCCACGCCGAAACACAAAAGGGGCTGAAGCCTACACACCTAAACTCATAGTAACTCTAAAACCCTAAACTCTAAACTCCTAAACCCTAAATCCTAAACCCCAAACCCTAAAGCTTAGACGAAGACACCCAGGCCCGGCTCCTCTACCGCCCCTCGGAGAAGCGTGGAGAGCACAGCCTAGGAGTCGGAAGTCGGTTGTGGCAGCGAAGCTGGCAGTGGTAGTGGCAGTAGTCGTAGTGGTCGTCGCAGGTCTAGGTTTAGGATTTAGGGTTTAGGGTTTAGGGTTAGGAGCAGAAGTCTGAATTGAAGCGATGGTGGCCAAAATAGGAATCAGAATCAGAATAGCAGCAGCTTCTAAGAGGAAGCATGACAATAGAAAGGATGGAAGCGCCTGCAAAAGCATCAGCAACAGGAGGAGGAGGAGGAGGAGGAGGAGGAGGAGTGGGAGTGGGAGTTTGTAGCAGTAGATATCCACTTGAAAAAAGACGACACCTGGTAGCAAGGGCGACGCCGTCACGAAGCGCAAACCTAGCAGCAATCAGAGGAATCGGCGCTCTGAGTGTTCTCATGATATGAAGCCTTGAGTGTTTATCCTTCTCAACACATACTTTTAGTAGCCAAGGAAGGACAGCAGACAAGCCAGAGAAGCATTCCTGGCCATAGGAGTCGCAAGGACTGTGCCAGCAATCACAGAGCTGGAGACCTCAACCCCAAGCCCGGAATCCCGAAGTTGAACTGTGACACTGACTCAGAACAACGAATCCGACAGCCTGGCACGTCTTACCGGCTTTTCGTCGTCGGTCTTATGAGCATGTGCTGGCTGCTGGCGTGTGAATACTGTTGAACCACAGGTTGTCAGGTTTGGCGGATGTAGGAACGAAGTACTCGAACTTCGGGCGCAACCTCCGCAAAGCAGTTCCAACAGTTTGTCTACGAAGTTGAGTGGAGCCTCCCAGCACGCAGCCAGCGGCGAGGTTTTGCGGCTGGTGCGCCTGGCCAAGCTCGCACGCGGTCTCCGGGTGGTGCGAATGGCCAGGGTCATGGACTCGCTTCACTTGCTGCCCCTCGCAGAAAAAGCCTTGTTTGTAACACACATATTCGAGCGGCATTGGCTTAGACTTGATGTTTCCTTCCCTTCCGTGGCTTGGGGTGCGTGAATAATGGCATGCTCTTCAGGGTTTCAAGCCAGTGTTCCTTTCGCAAGAATCGAGGATACGAGTGCTACAGTAGCACTTGGGAACTTATCCGAAACAGTTTCTGACCCCTCAAGAGTGCCATGTGGTTGTGTGGAGAAGAACTGTCCAATCTAACAACCACATGATCAGGCTGAAGAGTATTGGCGCCAGCTTCTCGATGTTGCTTTGGTCCATGCTGCTCATCGGCGTCATACAATGCACCGCTGGCCGCTTCATCGCAGAGAGAGTACACGGTCCCACCTAGACGCTCAATACCTCGATCACTGTAAGAAATATGTACGAGGCGATCCAGGCGTTTAGACGTTGCTGTGGTGAGGGCTTCTCGCGAACAAATTCTGCAGGTTCAGGGTTTACGGGGAACACTTCTTGAATGTTGCAGGAGTAGGTTGCAGTCGCACATCCTGGGCACCGTTGCAGCCTGTCTGTTGGTGTGTACAGTAATACTTGCATGTATGCAGTATGTACCTGTCAAGGTGCGAAAATTAATAAATACATAAATAAACAAATACATATATATATATATATAGATGTAAATGTATGTGTGTGTATATATATATATGCGTATTTAACATAACATACATGTACATATATATATACATACATACATACACGTCTGTCTGTATGTATGCATGCATGGATGGATGTATGTGTGTATGCATATATGCGCAGCTGTCTATCTATCTATCTGTATCTAGAAAGCACATACTGGTACACGTGAGCACACATACATACACATGTGCCGTTCGTACAGGCGCAGTACATGACGTGTCATACAGCTTTTTTGTGACCGCAAGCACCCTGTTAGGTATGATCATTGGGTATTTGGTAATGGATCATCTGGAACGAGATGCCTCGCAGTCGGAGGAAGTGCGTCATCTGATTTACAGGCGGGCACCTTTTTGCATGTAGTCCAGGGCCCCGATCCCTTACAAAAAACCCTTTAAGCCCCTCAGCGGATGCTGCCCCGGACAGGTATTATGGCACATTCAGCTACACCATCCTGACGATGTTTGCGTCCTGGTGGCTACAGCTAGCTTGTCAAATGCTAAGTCGCACAGCCCTAAGCCTTAAAGCCCTGAAGCTCTCGGACAGATGACTACTACGGCTGAGGAAGTGATTTTCGCCAACTGGCCTATCCCTTGTCGCGTCCTTGTGGATCATGTGGATGAATGGTACTCGATTTTCTTTATCATTTACCGCTGTGGCGTGGGACTCTCGGCGGCAAGGTACTTGAACAAGGTAGGTAGATAGACAGACGCAGACAAAGGTCGCCAGGTGTAGTGATCGGGATACCTCTAGGTCTGTTCGGATGTATACAGAACAGATATGAATGTGCTTGCATGGATTTGCTTGCCTAACATGCATGAATGTATAAACTGTCTCTAAGCAGGTACGTAGGGACGGTCCCTTTTTGGATGCCGAACGAGTATCACGGCACAACACATCACACTCAAAACAAGGATCCTGCAATGCTGCAAGGACTCAATGTGGAGACCTATGCACACGCGCACAAATGCACACAAACACAGACACACGTACGCACGCGCACACACACACAAATGTATGCACACACAGATATACATATACATATTTTGACATATAGTAATGCTATGGATATGTACATGTTGATAGAAGTACATTCACATGTATACACACATGCATATATATATATGTATATATATATGTATACACACATACATACGCGCATGCATGCATATACATCAATGCATACATGCCTACATGCATATATGTCTGTTAAGTTTCACAAATGCTTGCACACATGCGCATGCATACATAGTTATATATATATACATACATACATACATGCACACATACATACATGCATACGGATATACATGGTCTTTTCTTTGCAAGTATCGCACATACACATACATAGGTGCATACATATGCATAGCCACAAGCATACTTACCACATCCATCTATCCACTCATGTGTCTTCACATACATAAGGTGTGTACATATTAATATAAATATATATATACACACACATTTTTCTATTTATTTACATACGTACATGCACGTTTACATACATACATACAGACATGCATGCATACATACATGCATACATACCCATGTATGCATCTGGGTGTCCATTTACATATGCAGCGTGTATATGTACGTGTATACAAATATGTAAATATGTAGGTACGCAGGTATATATGTATGTATGCATGCATGCATGTATGTTTTGATATGCAGGTAGCTCTGCTTGACGTATGTAGGTATGCCTACTTTCATCCCATATGCACGCATGTACACGGATAGCTATGCATGTGTGTGTATGTGCATCTACATATGTATATGTAGATATGTATTAATGTGTGTGTATATATATATATACAGAGAGAGAGTTAGATAGATAGATAGATAGATAGATAGATAGATAGGTATATATATATATGAATGAACATACATACATTCACATCGATCTACCTATATATCTATCTATCTATCTATCTATCTACCTATATACTTAAATATGTCCGTATGTGTGTATGCATGTATCTATGTATGTATGAATGAATGAATGTACGTATGTATGTAATTATGTAATTATGTATGTGTGTGTTTTTGTCTGTCAGTCTGTCTGTCTGTCGGTCCGTCCGTCCGTCCGTCTGTCTGTCTGTCTGTATGTATGTTGGTATGTATGTATGTATGCATGTATGTATGTATGTACGTATGTATATATGCATGCATGGATGTATGTATGTATGTATGTATGTATGTATGTATGTACACATGGATATAACACATCATGTGCGAATACGGTTTTGCTCCGGCATGTCCAGCCGAGGCTTCTGTGTGCTGAACGCCCGAACCTGAGAGGACATTGGCCAAGCTAGTCTTGCGAAGCAGAAGACGAACTAGCTATGACGGATGGCAGCGGCGAGCAAGCTCGTGTTGGTGCTGAATGATATCAATACAACAACAACAACAAACGCTGAGGTTGTTGGTGCGGTTTTTGTTCAGCAGACTATGCTGCTCGGCAAAAGCAGGCGGCTGTGGAGCAGTGTTGACATGGCATTCTATGCGCCTGACAGGTCCTGCTAGCTAGCACCTGTCGCGTTTCCCACCTTTCAATGAAGCGTCTCAGGAAATTGGCAGCGGATGACAACGATCTCTTCTTGCAGCAGCAGACACGTGCGGCTGAAGCCTACACGAGAAAGATCAAGGATGTGTTGCTCAGCTGCATTGTCCATCTTCCCATCAGCGAGCTGATCAAGACTTCCGCAGCACACCGGAACGCTTCGCCACATGTGAGGTTCACGAAGCTCGATATGTCAGGTGTGGCCCCCAGTGCTTTGCCAACATGTTCGTAATCTTGGTTTCGTCTGCGCAATCTGGCAGTGCGCAAGCAGGTGAAGGTTACATTTACATGGAGGAGTTCGTGGAGATCCTCAACACCCCAACGATGCCACCGGGCTGCATGTTCCGCTCCGCAGGGCCTGGATGTTGGGGACAACTGTAGCATGTACCATGGATGCTGCCTCTGCGCCCAGTATGAGTCAACATTGTATTGATAGCTACTCATAATTTGCTACTGAACCGCTTCCCTTGTCAACGCCTGAGAACTTCAAAGCAGCTCAGGTCGCATTTCATGGCCAAGCTGGAGCTCGAATCTACCGATCTGCTCAGCCTCTTCAAGCTGATCGATGTGGACGACAGCGGGCAGGTCACGGCATGCCAGAGGAGAGTGAGCTAGCACATGGAAATCGCCTTGTGATGATTTTGCCTCCAGGGGAGTTTAAGCCTGCATGTTGTGCTATTGCTACAGCATGAGGGTAGTGGTGATGATTCTGATGATGATGACGATGATGATGATGATGAGTGTCTGCAGCAGCAGTAGCTTGGCAGTCATTGGTAGTACAGCGAAGTCCTGGTTCGGCTCTCGGTCCAACATCAATGGGTCGTGGGGTAGGCCTTTTAGCTCATTCCCCTTCCGCTGATGCAAGGCGATAAGCATTATTATCATCTTTGTTGCTATCATCTCTGTTGTTGAGAACTAGCGTCATGTTTTAGTTGAGCATCATTGTGGCTGGTGTTCGTATTACGGCCTGACGGGATGGATGGCGAGGTCTCCCTGGAGGACTTCATGACCGGCTGCCAGCGACTAAAAGGCCCCGCCAAGAGCCGGGGCCCCACTGAATTCCTTCTTTGAGGGTTGTGCTGAGGCCTTTAACACGAACTGCTAGAATTGGGTTACCGTAAGGGTCGAGTCTGAGTATCGGGGTAATATAGAGGCCTTTGAAGAATGGGGATTTGCTGACTTGGGTTTCAAAAGGGTTGCTTCAAAGGGTTATTATAAGGGTCTAGCATTACTTCATCGAGCCCTTAATGGGTAGAAAAATGGGTAGCAAAGGGTCTAGCCCCATCGAGTCCTGCTTGCGGCTTGGTTCGATTCAGGTGTCGACTTGGCTCTGCTTCTGGCGCACACGGCACGGCTCAACTGCAAAGTGGACAATGTCCTCCAGCTGGTCGGTGGAGAGGCGGAGACGGTTTTTACAAGGGGGTCAGATGTGCCAACGTGGGGTCTGTGGGGACATGGCCGGTTAGCGTCAAGTGGCAGCTATGCTTGGTATCTGCTCCCTGGTCGATGTTGCTGTCCAGTTTCTTGACTGGGATCTTAACTTTAAGAGCCGTATGACGGCAGATGCCCACCATGAACGTCGAAGATGAGTACCAGTCGTCTCCCTGGTACTTTCTGTTCATGCGAAGAGCAACCTGATCAACACAGCAAAGGATTGTCACGAAGATTACGTCAACACGGAGCACACATCGCGAATGTGACTTTTTAACATATGACCTTTGTTCTACAAACCATTTTACCTCCGCTGGGTCAAGATATTTCAGGCGTTTTGTATTTAAGCACAGCTCTGGAACCCTCGCGAAGGAGACCTGGGCTCGCTGGGCGCCCAGTATTTCATATTTCGTCAACCACCCGAATACTTTAATGTTACAAATGAAAGATGAATTATGTACAAATAATCATGAATATCATCAGCAAATCATACACGACGAACTCCAAAGCCCCCCGCAAACCCGTCCGAAAGCCCCTGATGAGCCTTAAAACACGAAGCTTCGGCCTTGCTTCGTCCTTGCAGACTGGCATGGAAGACTGGGGATATGGAGCGGCTGGAGATCAAAACTTGGAGCTGCGCTTCCTTCACTCAGCATCCACCCTGAGGCCTTCGCTGACAGTCCCAAATAGGCACTGAGCCCCGAAATGTAACATGTATGCTTGCTTGAAGGTCCGAATGATATCCTCCCGGAATACAGAGGCTGCACACATGTTCAACGGCGTTGAAGTGCATTCAGAGGTGTTGGCAGGTCACTTGATCCACACTGATCTGCACAGGGCCGAAATCCCCGACCATAAATCTGATCGATCTATCTGTCGATCGATTTAGTCGAACCGAGTCGAGTGTATCTATGAAGCTATCCATGTATCTACCTATCTACCTACCCTATGCATTTATCTCTCCCTATCTATCTATGAATCTATCTAGCTGTCTACATCTATCTATCTGTCTTCCTATCCTTCGATGTTTCCGTCGATATTTATGTATACATAGCCTGCACGCCCCCCCCCCCCCCCCC